CACAAGGGTAAACAATCTAAACTAGATAGTGGGCACTATAAATAACAAGCAATATACAAAAGCGATATAAGATATGAACATAAAAAAAGTACGCCAATGCAATCACAAACAAACGATATGTTCATGGAGTTCGGTCTCCACGACCTACGTCTCCGCTCCTCACCTCGAGGAGATCTCCACTATCACAACTGGGTTTTCTACGCTCACCCGAATAATATTTACACCCCACACTCGGTTTTCTAGTTCACCGAAAATTTTACAATCTCACACTCTTGCAATCCCACTTTACACCCTCTTAAGTGTTGGTCTCTAGTTCGTGTCTCCCTCAAGTGTTAGGAATTGCAACCTCTCTCTAGACATTACCACCTACTGCACTCCTCTTGTGACGACCCCATCTCTCACTACACACTCCTCTCGATGTACAAGTGTATTACAAAGTGATCTACACAATTAAGGTTCATAAATACAAATTTGTTCTCTATAATAGATGAGAATTCAATTAAGCACACTCTCGATTGTTATAACTCCCAACAACCCAATTATGTAATGTATGCAAATACAACAAGCTCAATGGTTATGTGGGTAAGCAATGAGAAAATTAATCATAAACTCAATGTAAACCCTAGCTTGATGAAAATGATAAACAACAAATAATTAATGCAAAGCTAGTATTGAGTTTAGAAATTCTTCTCTGAAAAACAAGATGGAGAAATGGATTAAATGAAGCTTCAAACAATGTAGATGATCTCCTTCACTTGTAAGAAACTTCTTCACAAACAAACTCTTTTAAAACACACTAAACAAACTTTAAAACCCTTATTAAACTTGTTTAAAATATTTCGTGGATGCTTGAAAGATGAGAGCAAGGGGGTATATATAGCCACCCAAAACCTCAGCCAAAAACCCTAAGCAAAAGACCAAAAAAATCAAAAAATCAGAAATCTGATTCTGTACCAAATATAGCCGTTAGACGATCGACGGTCGACCATGAAAAACACGTGGTCGACCGTGAGCAACTCAAAGGCAAAATATGGGCTCTGGACATCAGCCGGTCGACCATGGTGGTCGACCGTAAAACTCTCTGGACTTCATCCGGTCGACCGTCATGGTCGACCACGAGCTACTGAAAATCAAATTGAGTCTCTGGACTCCAGGCAGTCGACCGTGGCGGTCGCCGCAAACTGATACATGACAAAACTCAGGTTTGAAACAGTTTTCTTATTTTGAAACCCTGTTTAAAAATATCAAACAAATTCCAAAAATTATGAAACTTTGAGAAATGATTGTATACATGATAATAAACATGCTAAAAAAACTAGTTTTCAAAAAGGACCTCCCAAATGAAAAATATCATCATTTTGCAAAATAATCCAAAACATGAAAATGTAAACACATGAGTTTTGACATTTTAGCTTAACCATGCTTTGAAACATTACAAAATAATTTTGTAGACTTAATAAAATACGTATATAATTATTGTTATGTCCAAAAATTAAGAAACCAAAATTTTCACACAATTGCATATTTTGCAAACTTTTCAAAACAATAAATATGATTTCATTGAACTAAATAAACTTGATATTAATGAAATATATATATAAAGAAACCAATAAAATGTGTGTGTGTATATGATTGAGCTTAAAGTACTTAACACACATAATATAAATCCTAAACTAATTTACCCAAGCTAGATAGGTCTTCAATATGCTTGACTTGGTAAACTCGCGGATGAAGCTTGAACTTGAATCTTTATCTTGGATTTGCATAGCTTCACTCCACTATTCTGCCAACCTCCATTGGATATGCTCATGAATGCTTGATTTCATCCAACCTCCAACATATTGTTTGTCTACAATGAATACAAAACACAAACACTAGACAAAAATATATTAGTGATAAATTGTTTGCTAAACATCATCAAAACAAAGAGGCCAACAAATGATTCTCTTCGTGATCCTCATCTTTGTCAATAGCTTCAGCTCCAAGTCTTTCATCAAACACGACATCTCTACTTAGTATTTTCTTCTTATTTTTCGGATCCCACAGCTTGTAGCCTTTCACTCCCTTCTCAAAACCGAGAAAAATACACTCGAGTGACTTTGGCTTCAGCTTGTTCCGTTCGTCACTCAGAATATAAACATACACCTTGCATCCGAAAACCTTCAGAGTAGAATAGTCAACCTCTTTGTCCGACCATACTTCTTCGGCGCATTTGAAGTTCAGCAACTTAGACGATGATCAATTAACCAAGTAGGCAGCATGGTTAACGGATTCAGTTCAAAAAGACTCGGGCAATCCTGTATGAAGTCTCATGCATCTTTCTTTCTCCATGAGAGCCGGTTCATCCTTTCCACCGCACCATTCTGCTGTGGAGTTTTCTTCACGGAAAAGTATCGTGTAATGCCTTCTTACTTGCAAAACACTAGGAGCCTCCCATCATGATATTCACATCCGTTGCCACTTCGTAAATACTTGATCTTCTGTCCAGTTTGGTTCTCTACTTCTGTCTTCCATTCTTTGAACTTCTCAAAGACCTCGGATTTCTCCCGCATGAAGTAGACCCAATTTTTTCGTGAATAGTCATCCATGAATGTGACAAAATAACGAGCACCACCATGAGATTTTGTCGGTGTCAGCCCCCATACATCGGAGTGAATATAGTCGAGAATCCTCTTTACACGATTCTCCTTGTTTGTAGGCTTGAATGAGACCTTGCATTGCTTGTCAAGTACGTAATACTTGCAGAAATCCAACTTGCAAGTCTCTATGTTCTTCAACAGCTTCCTCTTGTGCAGCTCCTCCATAGCCCGCTCACTCATATCGTCATGATGAAGATGTCATAGATGAGTCGAGTCTTCCCCAGAGTTAATCTTAGAGTCCTCTTTGGAAGTTGTGGATACGACAACTTCCCCTGAGACAATATCTCCTAGAAGCTTATACAAGTTGTTGGGAAGCTTCTCTCCTCGTGTGATCACCATCGAGCCCTTACAAATCTTGATCTTTCCTTTGCCTGAGGAGTAGGTAAGCCCGCTTGCATCTAGAGTGCCCAAAAAAATCAAGTTCTTCTTGTGTACAGGAACATGCCGCACGTGGCCGAAAGTGTGAATGATGCCATCATACATCTTCACCTTCACCGAGCCAATGCTGATGACCTTACACGCGACATTGTTCCCCATGAGGACTTCACCTCCATCCTTCTTTTCATATGTGTCGAACCAAAACCTATTTGCACACATATGGATAGAGCAAGTTGAATCAAGAATCCAAGAATTAGAAATGGTTTTACCCCCACAAAACTAAAAGAAGCTCGGCATTGTTCTCCGTGGCAACTCCAGCCATAGAGGTGGTTTCAGATTTCTTCCCTTCTTTCTGATCTGCCTTGAACTTTCTGCAATTCTTCTTGAAGTGGCCTTTCTTATGGTAGTAGTAACACTCATTATCCTTGTGGCTCTTGGATTTAGATCTCCCGCAGTTATCCAACTTGACACCTTTCTCCTTGGATCGACCTCGATCGTTCAACTCCTTGATGAGTAGGCCTTCATTTTTCAAGTCAACTCTCGTGCTCTTATTCATTTTGACATGAGAAATGATGTCTTGAACAACCTCTTCAAACTGAAGAGTCTCCTTAACAAACATGAGTGTGGTCCGGAAATGTTTGAATGACGACGACAAGGATCACAGCAAAAGCAAAGCTTTATCCTCTTCTTCAAACTTGACCTCCACTCGTAATAAATCCGTTATATAACGGTTAAACACATTAAGACGCTCTATAATATCATCTCTATCTTCCATACGAAGATTAAACAATTCATCTTTTAAGAAAAGCTTGTTAGAGAGAGTTTTTCCCATGTAGAGATTCTCTAACTTCTCTCATGTGCCCCTTGCGGTAGTCTCCTCCATCACGTTGTAGGTGACTTTGTCAGATAAGTGCAGCTCAATCGAGTTCATCGCCTTGAGGTCTGCCTTGTTCCAAACCTCCATAAACATCGTCTCTGGCTTGTGCTCAACCCACATAATGCACATGTGTAGATCTTGCTGAATCAAGATATTCTTCAACTTACGCTGCCATAGTGTGAAATTGCTTCGCCCATCGAATGGCTTCAACTCAATCTTCACAACGCCGATTATTAACTTGTCTTCAGCCATTAAGAACACCATAACCTCGCTCTGATACCACTTGTTGGTGTTGACGAACTGCGAAACTTCTCAACACCACTTCAGGTTCTTGTTCTTAATGACAAAAAAATAAAAGATAATCACATAAAGAATGGACACAAGGATTTACGTGAAAAACCCAAACGGGGAAAACCACGGGTTGAGCTCAGAGCTCGGATGATACTTCACTATATGGAATCAACAAAATGAGTACAAGGCACACACGGCACACCCGACAACGCCAACTTCCACACAACCCTCACTCACGCTCTTTGTCTATTAACTCAACACTTGAGATCTCTACAACACAAGAGACTCTCATTCACTCTAACTCTCTATACTTTCAAGAGAATAAGTGGAAAACTTAGATTACCCTTGGATTGCCATTGATTTCCTCTCCACAATGAGAGCATGCCTTTTTATAGGTCTTGATTAACCTTTTTATCTTCTAAAATGCTTGCACAAATCTGTCCAGATTCGGGTATGGTATTTTGACTGACCATAACTCCATCCATACTGCTCCGATTCCTGTGATTCAAAGCTTGGAGTAAACTATGCATGTACCTCTACAACTTTTATATAGAGTTCCGAGCCAAATAATGATTGTACCATGTCCGAAAAGATCATGCAAAATTATATCTGCATGCAGAAAATTGCAACAATAAATTTAGCTGGAAATTGAGCCAACTCTAACAGTGGACGCATGTGATTTTATGTGCATAGGTACATCTTTAAAGTTACTAGTTAGACGGATTATCTGACAAAAACTTGAGGGAAATAAATAACGTTTCTAAAGCTTAGGAGTGTTACCTCAAAAATTGCCTGTAGTTTTAATAGACTTTATGTATATTCACTTGAAATTCATACTCAAACAACTTTAATTATCATGATTTTTCTCATTCACAGATTCCTGTGATCACAATATACTACAATCCAAAAACAACAAATTTAATAAATACTATAATTCGTTCGACCCCACAATATAATTTCAGCAAGTCTCTCAAAACATCTACCCAAAAATCTATTACAGTATTAGTTCTTGTTTAATAAAACAGCTCCTAACGCAAGAACTAGGAATAGAGCTGGAGAGAGCTTGATCGCGGAGTTAGGCAGCAGTTGTGGCCGCTGGCCTTGGTTGAATGCCGATGGACCGCGGTCCGCAATTGCTGGTGGAGACGCCGGCATCTCTGCTGGCGCTGCGGCTGGCGGCTCGACGGCTCGACATCTAGTCCAGCTGCTGCTCCCCCTGCACAAGCAATTTTAAGGAAATCCTGAGCATATTGTAGTAGAGTAATGCTGCTAATATAGTACTACTATGAGAAGCATGTGGCAATGTGACGTTCACTGGTTATTTTGGCTGATTGGCACTTGAATACCTCAAAGTTTCACCTTCTCTTATATACCCTCATTATATGATCTCGTCACACTTTTATACCCTAAAGTTTCTTAACTTGGCACGTTAGCTCCTCGTGTGGGGCAACCGTTAGAATATTCTTTAAAAGTTTCATGGTAGATTTAGGACTTCAATATCTGCTTTTTTTTCCAAGTCAGAAAGAAAATGTTAACTTATTTAACCAAGATATTATTGTCTTTTACCAAAAAATTAACATGTCTATTAAATTCAGACAGAGAAAACTTTAAGGTATATAAGTGCGACGGAATACAAATGAGAGTATATAAGTGAAAGTTAAGATATAAAACTTTGAGGTGTTTGGTGCCAATTACTAACCGGTTGTTTTCAGTAAGATAGTCTCAACATAGTACAACAAATTAGTAGAGGAAAAAAGAATTTTCATATTTGCATCGGTAATTAATTAGAGAATTTGAAGTTCTTACAAGGAGGAAGAGGGGGAAGACCCGGCGCATAAGTTACAGGACCTGCAGGAGTAAATATCCAAAACTAGGAAGTTAGTCTCACACAACATATTTGATGATTTCGGCTACTAGAGTTCGAGCAAGCAGAGAATTTTAGTACCTGGACTTGGTAAAGGAGTCGCAGTAGCTGCAACCAAACCGAAACATACATTTGTTAGATAAAACTGCATTTCATTTTCTGTCCCAAACGAGTTATTTGTGAATGTACTATGGGGGTACAATTATTTTCATATAAATTCTAATTTTGACATGTTTTTTCCGTGAGTCTTCAAACTCCTGTGGAAATCATGTGAACGTCAGAGTTGGATATTTGTCGAGGACATTCCACGTGATTCTCACAATATGGATTTTAAAAAGATGTGTGTACTGCTAAAATAGAACATGGATAGTAAGTAATAATAATAGTACGATAATACAAAGTATGTAACTGCAGATAATCCTTTTCAAATTCATATATATATACGAATCCGTGCACAGAAGGGCTGTAGTTTATCACCTTTACATTGCAGCGGAATGGGCACAGAGTTGCAAATCTGAGGGAGCATATTTGCCACCGTCTGGCCGAATGGGAGGCTAAACGGGACATTCCCGGTAAACATAAGACAAGCACAATCCATACTGTTGCTCATGAACGAGCCTAGAGCTTTGCAGCATCCGGCACTAGGAGATCCACCTCCGTTAGTACTCCCCGTTATAAAATTCATGCACGGAGTAAAGCTAGTTACGATTGAAGTTGTGCACGCCGTTGTGATCTGAGCTGATGAAGGAATTATGGAGATTGAGAGAACGAGGATTCCAAAGGAAATTGCTTTGGTTGTTTCCATTTCGATTGAAAATTCCTTCTTCAGTTGAGTGAAGAGTGGATGTGTGAGTGAGGAATTTATAGTGGATTGGTGGTCCGGGAGTTGGTGGTGGAGGTGAACCAACCGTATCTAACTTTGATCCTAAGGAATTTGTGCAAGTTTTGATGCAAATGTCATGGATTGTGTAACATTCATTATATTAGTTAAGAACCTAGTTATGTGATTAAGACCCAATTAACTTTAGGAAAAGACATGTGGCATCCGTTTGTGTATTTTAGTAGTGGAGTTCCAGTACTAACACGTGTCTGATGCTAGCAACATGGTGAAAAACTTAACCATGGATTCAAATAATTAACAGAGAACACAGCACAACCATGATAATTCAAACGTTTGACGAAGTTTGGCAATGAGAGTGTGATTGATTACCTGAGTTCTTAGCCTACAACCAGGTTACGATTCCACTATCAACAATGCATGAATTATAACCAATCACCACCTCCTCGTACCTTTTTTTTTAATCTCTCTTGGATGTTAAAAATCTATGTGTTAAAGATATTTATAACGCATGGCTTATGCATGTAGAGCCGAAAAATATATACAATAATATCTTCACCATAAAAATCTTTATAATTAAATTAAAATATTTCCAGAACCCCAACCGCGGTCGAATGGAAATCTGTGGGGGTTCAATATACCAGTGCTATGCCTTCTCGGTGTAGGCTCCACAAACAACATCTTATTCATGTTAAATCTAACACTTATCATATACCGTTCATGATATCATAATCACTAATCAGATAGTAAACTATTATGATTAAGAAAGTTGACTCTAAATTTGAGTAGTACTAAGCAGACTCATTCATATTTAGAACGACTTAAAAGATTTTTGTGGTGTAAATCAACAATAAAGAGGTGTTATTTAACACAATTTAATTGGACAAATTTTTAAAATAGACCTGTTTTGAAATTTATTCCCAAAAACAGATTTGTTTCCAACTTAATTTCAAAAACCGACCCAGTTGACTAAAACTGGGTCGGTTTTTGAAAAAAAAATTCACAAACTTCACGTGAGTTAAACTCCCGTGAAGTTTTGTTATGAGAAAAAAAAACTTCACGGGAGTTCAACTCCCGTGAAGTTTGTGAACTTTTTTTTCAAAAACCGACCCAGTTTTAGTCAACTGGGTCGTTTTTTTGAAATTAAGTTGGAAACAGGTCTTTTTTTTGAAAAAAAAAATTCAAAACCTGTCTGTTTTGAAAATTCCTCCCAATTTAATTATGGGCTCTATTTTTAAAAATATGAGGGTGTTAAACTTACAACATCTTAATAACTTTGCAGGATCTAATTTAGAAACAAAAAGATTTGGGGGTCTTATATAGAATCAACAAAGATTTGAGGTCTAATATGACAAAAAAAACCGTTTAATCATCTGAATATTAATATGTTGTTGTGATCGAAGAAGTCAACAACACAAAATGGATTTTGAATATATCATCATAAGCTTTCATGTGTGTGCGCAGCATATACTCTGTCTGATCTATTTTCAACTCAAGTATTATAACTTCTGTGGGTTAATTTTTAGTAAAGGTTATTTGCAAATTTTGCGTTGCTCATGAATTTGAAACTTTTCCGGATCTGCTTCTGTTCGAACTCTTTTGCTTTTCCCAATCCAGCCACTCGAACCGTGTTGTACTTGTACACCTGAGACAATGAACCTATATATATGCAGCCTTCAAGCTCAAGCAGATTTGAATCCCTGCACGCACGTGGTTAGCAAGCAAGACAATCTTCACTCACATTCTAGAAACAGAAAGAAGCTGATATAGATGAAAAAAAAGATAACACTGAGACAGAAGAAAAAAGAACAATTGTCCACGTTGGGCTTGACCCCAGAAATGATCGTATAACTCGTAAAGCAAGTTAGCTTACCTTGAAAACTCAGAGGCTTGAGCTTTAAGACTGTGTACGTAGGTTCAACCGTCTCCAAGTGTAGTACCGCAAGGTTTAAATGGCAGGATAATTAATTGGTAAAAGTAAATGAACAGCAGCAGCAGATTCTGAAAGTTTTTCAAATTCGTGAACAAGGCAAAACTTGCGGCTAACCCTTTATCGTTATTTCATTTTAGGGTAAATTACAGTAAACCCCTTAATAACTTTCAATGTTTTTGCAGTAAACCCCCAATAACTTTCAAAATCACAATAAAACCCCCCACAACTTTTACATTTTGAAGAAAATCCCCCCAACAAGTTTCTGCATTTTGCAGATAATCCCCTTAGATTGGAACAAAAAAAAAGCATTAAAAGGTATTTTGAATGTTATTGGGGGTTTAGTGCAGTTTATCCAAAAGATATTGGGGATTTTTTTTTTTTTTTTTTGCAAAAGCTGTTGGAGGTTTAGTGTGATTTTTTAAGTTATTGGGGTTTTAATACAAAATGAAAGTTGTTGGGAGTTTAGTTTAATTTGCCGTAAACTTTTACATTTAATCTATTTCATCATGCAAATTGTTTTCCTTACGCTTCGTAAAGTTCCGGAACAATAATACTTGTGGCTTAAGTAGCATAGAACAGTCATGTTAAGAGGCAGACTATCATAACATTCATAAACCTTTAAAAAAATTTGAAGAAGAAAAGAGGATGAGTTGCCCTGCTCATTTCATTAACTAGAAAAAACATTACAGAAATAAAATTATGGGAGAGATGGAAGATATCACGATAAAAAGAACAAGAGAGTAGGGAGAGGACTTTGCCGCTACCTAATACTCAGTTCAAGTCATCGGATAAGTTCCAGCTGCTTAACCCACAAAACTATACAAAAGGCAGTTTGTTTATGAGCTAGTACGCCCAACTCAAACATCATTACAAACCAAGTTAAGTCTTGAGAAAAACACAAAAAACAAGAAACAAAAAACAAGAAAACAAGAAAACACATAAATCCTAACCCAAAAAATTATTGACATGAAATGTGGTGCTCGAAAGAAGTTGTCTCCAACTTTACTCTGTGCAGTATCCTATTGTAGAGCTTCTAAACATTGATTCTTGATAATCTTGCAAATAGTCTCTGCCTATTTGTTGCTTGAGTTCCCTGCCCCAAAATAAGATAAAGTGCGCCACATTAGTAGCTAGACTTTGTGGCATGGTTGTTGGGAATTTAACGCCGAAATCCCTAATGCAACGGAAACGCAGAATAGAAAAAAGTACACCAAGTTTTAACGAGGTTCGGCAACTGCCTACGTTCTCGGGAGCCACACAGATAATTTCTTATTAATCAAACAAGAAATTACAAATCAAGAGCAAATCCCTAAACTGAGATTTCTCAAATGAACACTGTAGCTACAGTGTTAATAATTAAAGAGAATAAACCCCTTTCAAATCTCACTTGAGATTAAATAATAACCCCACAATATAAAACCCCTCTTAGTTCTCTCTCTCTCCTCTTGAACCTTTTCTTAATCTCTGTTCTTAATCTCCCCTCAAACACTTCTGTTGAGAGCTGGAGATGTTGAAAAACGCTGCTGCGTTTTTAGGGCTGAACGCTGCTGCGTTTTGGGGCTGATCGCCGCCGCCAGAGGGAAAAATCGGAGGGGGGGAAAGGCAACAACAAAACCCTAGGGCCAGGGGGGTTTATATAGGCGGAGATGATGGGCTGGCGACAGCCTGTCGCCAGCGGTGCAGCGGACGCGATGGTGGGGGGCTGAAACGCGGACATCGGAGTCGCCCAACGCGAGGGTCGCGTTTGTCGAATCCGAGGGTCGCGTTTGTCGTCGAATTTGCCTGCAGCTTTGCCTGCGTCGTTCCTGAGCTCGTCGGAGCTCCTCGTCGCCGGCGGAGGTTGGTTTCCACCCCCAATTCTAACAATCTCCCACTTGGAGACCAAACCGACATCAACAGGCTATCTCATCAAGCTCCTCTTCTGTGTGGCTCCGTCCTCATCATCTATGCATGAAGACCAACTGAAGTTGCGCACAACTCCAGTTTCTGAACGGTCACCGTCTTTGTTAACATGTCTGCTGGATATCTTACTTCCTGGAATCTTTTTCCGTTTCACACGTCATCTTCAACAGGGATCTGATGAAGTGGTACGAAGTTGCATTTATATGCTTCGTTCTAGCGAATGGGAAAAAATGCTGAATTCTTCGCAAGTGTATCGCACTCTGGCTGTCACTGTTGCAAAACATACTATCATCCCTGTTTGAATCCCAGTCTATGATCAACCAAATTGAACCATAATCATCTCTTTACTGGCTTCAGTCACCTGCACATACTTGCAGCTTGTAGTGGATAGGCGTAACGATTTGCTGTAGCTGTGACATCCAACTACAGCTGTTAGTTCCGACGGTGAAATACATAGCGGGGGTGCTTCTGTCCGGTGTATCACTTCAGCCGCCGAAGCTGCATCTACGTACCCTTGCACTTCTACCTCCTCCCTTACCAAAGTGCATAACACTTCTGTGTTGGTTGCTCGTAGATACTCTCAGAATCCACGTTGACTGCTTCCCAATGAGCTTTTTCCTGGTTCGACTAAACCGGCCTGCACAGTCGCACACTGCATGGGCCAATATCTGGTCCTCGTACAGACATTTGCGTACATCAAACTTCCGATAAGCTGAGAGCGTAAGGCTACCATGAGCCATACTCTTCTTTCTCTTCTTCTGATTTGAGGAGACTGATCCTTCGATAGGCCGAAAATGGCTAGGCCACAGGGGTGTGCTCCACAGGCTTGGCAGCGTCGCCATTGAACCCTCTGGCAACAAGCACGGTGACTGTACTCCGTCCTGAGATACTGCAAGAGACCTCTTTTTATCTCTTGCTGATTTGCATTCCAAGGATCTTCTTCTCATGGATGGCCAGTCCTTCATGTCAAACTCCTTTGACAGCATGCTCCTTCAAACTCTTGAGTATCTTTCATATCTGCTCCTACAACCAACATATCATCAACATACAGCAGTAGGATGATATAACTGGACTAATATCTTTTGAAGTAGCAACAGTGGTTGGCGTTGCAATTCTGGAAACCTTCCTTGTGCATGAAGCCG